AGATATGGCATCTACTCCTGGAATCTCAGGGCATGGGTTTTCCACAATGTTAGTTGTCTTATCAGAGCTTTGATTATGAAGGGCCAAGGGAAGAGTTAAAGATTGCATCATAGTAGGGTCTAGATATGTCTCTTCATGCTGCAAAATATCTGTCCCAAGGTTTTTTACATCCAAAGCTCTGGATACTTTCTCTATCCCAGAATCCCAAAGTCCTAATTCAGATGCTGTTTTGATAGAGCTTGAAATAAGTGAGGTTGAAGAGCTATGTAGGAACCTAGAGAAGTCAGTCCCCACTTGTAACTTGTCTGATGTTAACTTCCCACAGTCCCTATTCTGACACACCTGTCCTAGATTCAAATCCTCAGATTTCATAACTTTAGGAGGCTCTGTTTTTGTCACTGTAGATTTCACAGCCTGAAGTCCTTGTTGATGAGTCAATATTGTATGTTCCTTAAATGGAGATGTTTGTTGTGAGGTTAATTCTTCAGATTTCGCTTGAATATGTGGCCTTAGAGTTGATTCTACAGGTACTATCAGTTCTTGAAGATGTGGACTTGGAAGTAAATTCACACAATTTATTGCTTCTATTTCTGATTCTAGGGCTACTCCTATTAGTTCTACAGCCTGAGGAATTGGTCTTGGTGCTAATTCCTCAGATTTTACAATTTGAAGGGGTGGCCCTGGGATTAACATAGTTTTTACAATTTGAAACCCTGTCAACTCCATTGTTTCCACAATCTGGTGTTTTGGTTTTGTGATTAATTTCTTAGATTTCACATCTTGTAACCATGGCCCTGAGGGGATCTCTGAAGGTCTCACATCCTGCAGTTTTGGAGTCACCTCAATATATTCTACCACTTGAGGGGTTAGCCTTGGTATTGTCATAGACTTTACAACTTGAAATGGTGGTCCAGGGGCCACTTTATCAGATTGAACAACTTTTGGGACATCTACAAGGGTTACCTCTTCAGACTGAGCAACGTGAAGCTGTGTCCTTGCAGATTCTGTGACTTGATCCAGTGGTTCTGGACTAATCCTTATAAATTCTACAGTTTGATCCAATGGTCCTGGGGTTGTCCCTGGAGATTTCATACTTTGATTCTTTGACTTTCTTAGCCCCATTGATATCTCCTTGTGCTGCCATGCCTCAGAGGTGAGCTCTGCAGATTCATCATGTCCTATAACTTGACTTGTTTGCTTCATGGGCACCTCTAAAGATTCTTCCATTTGCAGCCATTGCTTATAGTTCAGAT